TATATATATATATATATATAATAATACTAATCACAGACGCAATCACCGATAGACGGTGGTGGCGTATTGAGACACGCGCGTACAAACCAAACGAAGCGAAAGACGTGGAGCAGTGAGGTACAGTTTCCGAAGATGATGATGCGCAGTGCATATAAACAGCAAAGGGAAAAAAAGAACTCTAAGGTGAGAGCCATACACGCTTTCGAAACACAGAAAAAAAATGAGAAAAGAACAAAACAGACTAAACTAACGGCGAACAAGGCGAGGCATCTTCTCAAAATTCTAGAATTCCCGCCCCCTCCACCCGGCCTTGCCCTTTTGTCTCCCCGTCCTTCTATTTTCCACCCTTACAGTGCTATTGCAGTCTCACACCTGCTCCCTCTTTGCGTTGCTCGCCGCTGCGGCTTGCCAGCGTGACTTGCAGGGATGGCGGCACACACAGCAACAGCAACAACAGGAACAAAATCCAGCTGCAACGGGCACGGAGACACACCAACAATCGCACACACACAGAATTTTACATATAACTAAAGAACAAGGAGAAAGATAAACAAAAAAAAAACAACAACAAAAAACAAAGAGAAGTGAAGCACGTAAGCAACCAAAACACTAGAGAGTACTGTTATACCTTTTTTAACCTGCAGCGCTCATAGACGCCCCACCATGTCACACACACACACACACGAAGAGACATACTGAGTCGTCCACACGGCAGTGGGGATGGGCGCCCACCAAAAAACAAAAAAATTCCTGCAGCACTACAGATATAGTTTAATTGAACAAAAAAACAAAAACATACCACACAGACCACCCCTCATAATTTCAGCCCCCACACCTCATTCCCTAGCTTCGCTCCCCATAGAGTGGTAAAGGAATCGCTCCCCAAGAGCGGGCGAACTCGGCCAAGAGAGCTACATTTCGCAGCTAGGCCTATTTGACAGGGATATTTCCTGATATATAATCAACAGAGAGACACAAACGTACCCTTCTAACCATACATAAATATGCATCTTCGTTCAACTCCGAAGTGCTTTTGTCCTATTGCTGTAGTGTCATTCTGGGCTTGTACTGGATGTAGGCCAGCTTCCCCACCTCCTCCATCACGTCAAGTGCGAGCTGTAGATCCTCACGGGTGTGCGCAGCTGAGATGCAGAAACGCACACGCCCCTCCAGCAGTGGTGTCGCGGGGTAGCCAACAACGACGACGGCAAGGCCGCGGCGCATGCATTCCTTCGAGACGGCGAGTAACTTGCCGGTGTGGTACAGCATCACAGGTACAACTGGCGAGGCATCATCACCCAGCACAGTGAAGCCGCGGGCAATAAGACCCTGACGCAGGAAACGGGAGTTCTCCTTTAGTTGCTGAATGCGTTTACTACCGAGGTCAGTGCCGTCGCGGCCCCGAATCACATCGAGAGCAGCGAGCACTTGCTGTGCACAGGGCGGGGCGAGTGTGTCACAGTGCAGGGCGATGGAGCTGTGCGTGCGGAGGTAATCGATGATGCTCTGCTGGCCCGCCAAGTATCCGCCAATGGAGCCAAAGCTCTTGGTAAAAGTACCCATGAGGATTTCGACGTCCTTCGGGTCGACGCCGCAGTGCTCCGTCACACCACGTCCAGTGCGGCCAATCGCACCGATGGAGTGCGCCTCGTCCACGAAAAGCAGTGCACCGTACTTCTTCTTGAGCTCCACAACACGCGCAAGGTCGACGATCTCGCCCTCCATGCTGTACACACCCTCCACAACGATAATGATGCGCGTCCACGGCACGTAGGCACCCGTCGGGTTACGTCCGAGGACGACAGCCTCGCGCAGCACCGTCTCCAGCTGGCCAAAGTTGTCGTGCTTGAAGACTTTCACACGCGCTCCAGACATGCGCACACCGTTCACCAGTGAAGAGTGGTTCAGACTGTCGGAGATGACAAGCGAGTCGCTACCAAATAGTGCTGGCAGCCCGCGGAAGTTCGTGCCAAAGCCCATGCCGCACACAATGGCGTCATCCTTTCCGAGGAAATCTGCAACGGCGTGTTCAAGCTGCGCAACGGGGCTGTGCTGACCCGCCTCCCAGGGCGCACTGCAAGAAGCAATCCCATAGCGGTCAATGCTGTCGAGTACTTGGTGCGTGATGCTCGGGGTGTCCTCCGCAAAGCCGAGATAGTTGTACGAGGAGAGGTTCACGCATGGAACTATATTACCGGTGAGGGAAAAGGTGCGGTTGAAGTCGTGTGAGACGCGTTCCATGACACCAATGACGCGTGAGGGGCGAGAGTCGATGGGGTGGTTGAAGCAGTCACGAATACGGATGTAAAAACGGCGCTGAAAAAAATCGTCAAAGTCCTTTAAAAGAGGCGCGTAACCTTCGCGTTGGGTCTTTCGTGGGAGCATCTTGCGGAACACTTCGCGCACATGGGCCAGCAAGAAGAGGGAAGCGAATGACGCGTACACCACCAACGCCACCATTGTGGAGATGGTGGAAGTGTTGTCTTTTTCCTTCGGCTTCTGTTGCTGCTGCTGCTGTTGTTGTTGGACGGGTTGCACGTCGCTCTCCGACTCTGGTACGGAAGCAACGCCGTCAAGTGAGATGTTTGGCGGTCCGAACTCTTGCTTGTTGCAGGCTTCGACAGGGGACCCCATTACAATTGCGGTCTTGGCCGCAAGGAGTGGGGAGCTCTCCCATGCCTCAACAAGCTTCTCAGACGTAACGTACGTTGGCATGCTGAAATATCAGTATTTGCTAATATATCTATTTCTCTCTTCAGCGCACGAGTGGTTATGGTTGTGTGTGTGTGTGTGTTTCGCTTAAAGGCTTCACGCGGCACCGTTCAGGAAAGAGGAGATCGACGAGAAAGAGGGGAAGAGAGAGGGGGTGCTTCCCAGGAAAAAAGAAAAGCCGCAGGCTCGCCACAACAAACGCGAGCAAGCACGCTTACGCACATATACAGCCAAAAACATATAGATTCATTGAAATGCTGGGTGGAGACACGGTGAGCAAGGATAGCATGGCATGACACAACAGCATGGCAAACGCCGCAGCTCTGGGCCTCCCTCGCTTACTACTACACTCTCCCTCCCCCTCCCCCTCTCCCTCTCCCTGTTCCCCCGCCTCCTCTCCCCCAGACGCAACCATGTTTGCTAGCCCACGCACCTTCGGGTACGAGCGCTCGCGGCGTACGCCGTCGCAAGTGCATTGAAGTCCATGCCGGCATGCCACGGCGACCGCAGGCGGTCGTACGACCAACGAGAGAACATGTCGTCCACGCAGCCACAGAAACCCTTCGGCCGGCCCGAGTGACAGTGACACAGTGGCGCCTCCTCCTCGTTGTTACAGAGCTCAGGACGGCGATGGAGCGCGGGGTTTAGGGACGTCATTTCAGGGAACGTGGAGGCGTCTGGCTGTAGCGACATGCAGTTACCGATGCAACGTGGAGCACCCTTTGCCAGCAGCCACTGCACAATCTCTGTGTCGCCAAGCGCCACGGCAGCATTGAACGGCGTGCGTCCCCAGCGATCGTACACGTGGATGCTTCCGCCGAAGTGGTGCACCACCGACATGACCTCTACCTTTCCCACGATGACGCTTATGAACATGGGGCTGTAGCCATGCTGCATCTGGTTCACAGGGCCATCGGGGTCGCTGAGGAAACCCATACTGTTTGGGTTCGCTCCAAGCTCTAGACAGCGCCGTGCGAGCTCCGTGTCGCCGGTGATGACAGCGAACAAGAGGAACGTTGACCCACGATGTAGTTTTTCACCCTTCTTGGGACAAAGTTTAGGACAGCACTCCTCCAAGAAGGCGCTGACAGAGCTGACAGACTCTGCAATAATGTTCTGGCTGCCCGTCGTACCCGTACTGCTGAGGCTTGTCAGTTTCGCGAAGTCTTCCGCGACGCCGCGCGCCTGTGCCTCACTGGGCGCGACGTTGCCCTTCTGCATGCAGCTGAAGGAACTCCATTGGAGGGCGGGTGTTGTGCAGAAGGAACGCAGAAGGTGCCGGTCCGGGTAGTCGTAGTCCGTGAGACTAAACACGCTGTTGTGGCCGCCGCTACCATGACCCAGCTCGAGGGCACCCCATTTGCAGACCTTCGCGTCGAGGGCCTTGCGCAGCTCGTCAACGGGCGACGTCTTACGCGACAGCGACATGTACGGCTGTCGCAGCGTACACTTCAACTTTTACTTTTTTTTTGTTTCGCGGTGTGTGCGCCAAAACAATGAGAAACGAAAAAAAAAAAAGATTGATCAGCAAGTGTAGGACACGACCTCGCGCGAAGAGAGACAATTATAATTAGAAGCGAAAACGAAGAGAAACAACAACAAAAAAAAAGTGATCTCCAAGGTCAGAGAGAGAGAGAGGAAGACCAGAAACAACTGAAACGGCAGCAGCAGCAGCAGCAGCAGCAGCGCATCCCTCCAGCAAAAAGGGAGAGCAGGGGGCACGCTGCGGCCAGAACTCAGGTGCCTGGACATAACGCGAAGCCGGAGATGATAGTGATGCTGATGCAGAAGAAGAGTGACAGAGAAAGAAAAAACTGTAGCAACGGTACAAGCACTAGGTGCCTTCACCGAGTAGATCACTGGTGGCGGCAGGAGCAGAAGCAACGGAGGCACCGAGGAGCTCCCCAGTGACAGTGGTCGTGCTTTTTTGGTTTGTTGAAGATGACCGTCGTTGTATTTCATTTTTCAGCTCGCCGTAGCGGGTGTACTCACGGGTGAAGGCCCGTCTGTCTTGCTTCGTTGGGACGTGCCCATTGTGTTGCTCAAACTCACTCTCAAAGTGGTGCAGGATGCGCTTCAGGTAGCGTTTCTCCGCCGCGAGCTCCTCGTTCGGCATCTGGCCCACCGCCGGGCCCTTGCTGAGTAAAGTACCCACCGACTGCCGCGGCACACTCTCAGAGGACACCATGGACGCCGGCAGAGTAAACACCCCGCCGCTCGGGGCGTCAAGTTGAGTGGTAGAGACAGACGGCGGCTGCAGCACCGATGCCGCACTCTTATCACCGTGCGTCGACTCACCGTTGATGGATGGCTGCTGCCGCTGTTGATGCAAGTGCGTGCCCTCTGCGTCCTTCCCGTTGCCGTCTACGCCACCGTTGGGCGGCGACTCGCTCCCGCGCAGACGGTTCTTCGCCGCCTTGTACAGTTCGTAGATGTGCCGCAACGACGCCTTGTCGTGCGCCGTCACGGCGGCGCCGCGCTCCTCACGAAAGGCGCGCTCCCACTCGTGGATGCGCTGCTTCAGCTCCTTCTTGAAGGCCTGACACTGGCTTTGCGTCATCGTCGACGTCACCGCCACCGGCGCGTCGTGGTTGTCGGCGTCCCTCGCGAGATCGAGTGAGGCTGTCTCACCACGGTACGCCGCCCCGAGCTGCGCCGCGAGTGCGTCGGACGACGCGACCCGCGGGCCGTACATCTGCTCGATGCGGTTGCGCTGCTCGCGCTGCAGCGAGCGCACCGAATCGATGGTGGCCTTGCTGTGTGCGCGGAAGTCCGAGTCGACGACGTGGCTCTGTGTGAAGCTGAGCGCATCAATGGTTTGTACAGCTGCCTGGAATAGTAGCTCGTTTACGTCCATTGTCTATCCCTGTTCTACCTACCTCGTTATCCCCGCACACGTGTTTGTATGTATGTATGTATATACACTTTCTACTTTTCCCCTTGTTTGCTTCTCTTTCTGCTTCGTTACGTGTTGTGAAACTATATATATATATATATATACAGAAACACCACGTGTAGTTGTGAAATCGTCTGCTATTCTAATTTGTGCTTTACAGTGTGTCTTCGCAGCACCACGTTTTGCTCGTCACCCCACTCTAAGGCTATACGGCAAATCCAGCGCACAACCATAACAACAACAAGAGCACCAAAAGAAGCAAAAAAAAAAACAGTTGATGTCTCCTAAGCCCCACACCCCGTAGGTCAAGCCCCATCACAGCATTAGGAGATGAAAGCTGCGCACCACTTCTTCAATATTCAACAACCACCAATGTTTCCCATTCCCTTTTCTTTCCCAACCAACCACACACACACACAGACGCCACTGCTAAGTGTTACAACTAGTTCCCCTTATATTCCTCACACACACCGACCTCCAGAGATACACACACACCCACAACGCGCCTATTGACGCAGTGCCTGTATCATCATTCAAAATCACTGCTCTCTTCCACACATCACATGCGGGCCGACTGAATTGTCGCCTCCGAAAGAGAGGCGAACGACACACTGGAGTGTGCCATGCATTTTAACAGCAGCGACGGACGCAGATGTGGCCCGTGCCACTCTGACAGATCCTCCATCTTTTGAACCAGCATGGCAATGCCACGGGCATCCGCCAGCGCCAGCGCCCCACCTGTCGTCTCGCGGAAGCCGATTGTGGCAACACTCAGCGCGTTTGCGTCCGCCGCGCACTGCACACAGCCGGAAAGAAGCAGCGCGCAGCACTCGTTGATAATCACTGCCAACAGCCGGTCCGCCACCTCCGCATCGGTGAGGCGGCGCCGCAGGTAGCGGCGCTGCACCTCCGCATTGAAACCCACAGCGGTGCCATCGTCACGGTAGGTGTAGAAGCCGCCGCGACGCGCGTGGACCCCCAGAAGGCCGTCGGCGCTCATACACTGCAGCGCGTGGCGGCCCACGGCGGGTAGGCAGTCGACCTGCAGCGGGTTGCCACCGTCTCCCACGCCCGCCGTGTCGTCCATCATCTGCAGCACTGCCGCTGCGCCGAAGTGGTCGATCAGGCGGAAGGGACCAACAAGGAGGCCTAGCATGTCGGTAGCAGCGCGCTCAACACACGTGACGTCGCATTGAAGCGCCATTCGGCATGCTTCCGTCGCAACGGCAGCGAGCAGCCGCTTGCCACAGGAGCCGCGACACACCACATACGGGCGACGTTGCGCCTGCAAGTAGGTAAGCGCTGCAACGAGCGTGTTATGGCGCAAGTTTGCCGGCCAGCTATCCCGTGCAAAGAGACGGACTTCCTGCAGCCCTTCGAGGGCGGAGGCACGGTACGGCGAGGCGCACGACACCACCGCACTGCACGGCAGTGTGACAACAAGCTGTCGGGCGACGTGCTCCTCGCCAATAAGCACCACACGTGTGTCCTTCAGCGCTTCACGGTGGTCATTGACCAACTGCACCGTTGCTCCTATGCACCGCTGCGAGCAGTCCAACAGCACGGTTGCCCTATCACCCTCTGTAGAGGAAAGCGCCTTTATCTTTTGCGGCCAAAGATTTATCTCTTCGCCGCGGAAGGTAACGAAATTTGGACCCGGCAGTGCTGGAAGCACACGGCGTTGCATAGCGCACGTCATTGCGTGTACACTTGCCGCGTTGGTGGATGGGGAGGAATACGCCATATCGCTAAATATGCTCGCACAGCAATCAGACTTTTGTCGCCGAGACGCCTTGTCGTCGATTGTCTCAGAGGTGCCATTTCCCTGCGTAATGGCAGCCATGCTGTACCGCACCCACGCGTGCAGCAGCGGATTTTGTCCCGACACCACCATCGACTTGTCGAAGCTGTAGGTGAAAAACAGCTTGCGTAGAACCAGTTCCCGCTGCGTGGGCCGTGGAAGCAGTAGAAGGAGTGTGCGCTCGAGCCACAGGAGAAACGACGATGCCGGTGTATCCACACTACGTTCTCCCAAGCCAGGCAACATCGCCACCACTTCCTGCACGCTGCGGGCACACTCTGCAAGCCCAGCGTCCACCAGACTTTCCGCACTGTACTCGTGCATCCGCGGCGCCAACTCAATGGTACGCTGTGAGCCGAGGCAATAACGGAGTCGCCGTACCACACAAGCCGCGGGGAAGTCACCAACGCGTATAGATTTAAAACCAAACGTGGTGCGCGCCGGATCCAGAAGCACGCGGTGGTGGCATGCAAGGAACAGCTCGGCACCAAAGTCACAAACGATGCCACAGTGTACCACCGCCACAAAGCGCAGACGCTGCGCGGATTCCACCAGACGCTGGAAGAGACGCTCCTTCGCCCGCAGTAAATCCACTCGCTCAGCACACGAAAGCTCCAATGGTCCCTTCTTCGGTTCGAAAAAGCTCAGCGTGGGAAGAGCAGTGATCATTACATATGTGACAGACGCAGTAGAGCCGTGACGATCCTCGATTTCTGTGATGGCTTCGTGTAAAGCGTTTACGGCCGCCATGACGTGCGCGGGTGACTCTTGCAGGAGGATCGTCGCGCCCAGCGACGATTCGTCGTCAAAGGACACCTTCAGACATGTCCCCCTTTCACCATCACTCGCTATTGTGTTTGTCCATGGAGTCGACGGAGGCTGTTCAACAACTACTTCCTCCGTGCGGCTGTCCTTCAATGGTGGTCTTTCCTTCACCTCTACGTCCCTTTCCTGGGAACCCAACTGCTGCGAGTCTCGCCGTTGGTCAGGCATTTGTGTTGCCTCCGAACGCTCTGGAACATGCGCACGCTCGCTAATGACATCAGGGATCTCATGGAGGTCAATGGTTGCAGCTTCCTCTTGTGGAAGAGATTTCAGGCTCTCCTTGTCGACGGGACCCTCAGAGGCGCCTTCATCATAATCCCCTTTCACGTTCAATTTAAGCCTTGCGTTCTCGTCGTTCAAGGCATCGGGAGAGCGCACCAACGGGCGCGACGCCCGTGCCTTTTCAATCTCCTCATCCAGCGAGAGACTAGCACTCTTTTCCCACGTAGTCTCTCCACTCTCCACATCCCTCGTTGGTGGCGCAATGGTGAAAAAAATGTCATCCTCCACATCCTGCGACGCCATAGCAGCAGCTGCAGCAGTTGTAGCAGTCTTACATACATCACCTTGCGAAGTGGTAGACGCACTGACGCGAGACGAAGAGGAGTGTGGTGCTACGGGTCCGGCAGCCGGAGGTGGTGGTGGTGGCGGCGGTGGCGGCGGAGTAGGTGAAGATGGCGCATGACGCTGGGCACCTGACAAGCCGGGACGCTGGGCAAACACAACCTTCATTTCACGAACATCATCAACAACGTCCGAGAGGGACAGCCGCTTCTTGCCTGTGCTTGCCAAGGATGATTTCGGCATACCTACCTCTTGACGAAAATCTCCCTTCTTTCCTTCACGACGGTCTTCACGCTTCCTGCGACCGTCATAACGATTACTCTTCACAGCTTCGCCCACCGTGTTCCTTGCAAGCTTCTCGTTCGGGGCATCACCCGACGACGATGAATCTTTTGGCGGCTCAGGCACAGCAGGTGCAGCCTTTGGTGGCTCAGGCACAGCAGGTGCGGCCTTTGGTGGCTCAGGCACAGCAGGTGCGGCCTTCGGCGGCTCAGGCACAGCAGGTGC